AGTGATGTAGCTTTATGTTGCTAATTATGTAAGTTGAACACTTAGCGGTGTAACTTTATGCATATTTCACTGCTTTTGCCAATACGATGCATGTTTCACTACTCTAATTGCAATCTCATTATAACTTTGGTTTTTTTGCAAGTTTATATAAATATTGATGGATATAATACTTGATAACAACCTACATTGCACGATATGTATTGGTATGGCTACTTTGTATTCTTCAAAGTGGGCAATGATGATGGTCATAGTTAAGAGAATGCAATCTACAATGTTTTGCTATGTTTAGGTAGGGCAATCTAGGATGAGAATGCAATCTACATTGCATTTACAATGTTAGGTAAGGCAATCCATTCATGTGATTGCAACCTACATTACATTTACAATGTTAGGTGAGGCAATCCATTCATGTGATTGCAACCTACATTGCAACATCATTGTTAGATGCATTTACAATGTTAGGTGAGGCAATCCATTCATGTGATTGCAACCTACATTGCAACATCATTGTTAGATGAGGCAATCCATGTATTCAATTTTAATACTTCATGTGATTGCAACCTACATTGCAACATCATTGTTAGATGAGGCAATCCATGTATTCAATTTTAATACCTATATCTGATCCCCTACCTTGGTCCTATTATGAGTTTTCATACTGGTTTCTTGTTTGAGCCTTTGTTGTTTGAGTTATTGCTTGTTTCTGAGCATGTTTTTGATGGCTTGTGAGCTTGGTTGTTTCGGATTCAGTTTGTTTCAATGGTTGCTTGTGGGATTGTTACTGAGCATGTTTGTTTCAGATTAAGCGTTGAGCATGTTTGATGGCTTGTGAGCATGCTTGTTACTAACCATGTCAAGTGCATATTTCACTACTTTTGTCAACCATGTTTTCAATCGAGCTTTGGTTAATTGTTTTGATGGGATTTGGGTTTGAGCTTTGGTTAATTGAATTTGAGCTTGTTTTTTATGGGATTTAGCCATTTATGTCTCATGCTGATTTAGCTCTCTAAATTTGTTTTCATTAATACATCAGCCTTTAAAAAATGCATACTTTGATGGCTTGCTTATTTGCGCATATTGTGCATGTACTATTGTTTACTCTAGGTCGGGATATGTAGTATTGGAACTTACTTTAACTGATTCAATTGTTTTATTTTATACATGCCATACACATATTTATATGTTTCACAATTATGTTCCATTCAAGTTCTAAAGATAGTCAAGATTTAGAATGAAATTGGTCAAATAGATTCAATGTGCTTCATGTAAAATTTCCTAGATTCAAAATTTTACTCAGTTTAACTACTGTATATATTTATTACTTGTTCTTACATATAGAGTTATTTGGTTACTTGGTTACTTGTTGCTTGTGAGCTCATGGTTACATGTTTGCTGCTAGTTACTTGGTTGCTTGTGAGCTCATGGTTACTTGAGCTGTTACAAAATTCATTTGGGGGTGTTTGTTCAAGTGTTTATTTCACTAGTATAGTTTTCTGATAATATCTGAGCATAATGTGTGATTGAGCAAAATGTGAGCTCATGGTTACTTGTTTGTTTTCTATGATTTGCTTGTGAGCTTGTTTCAAATTCAGTTTGTTTCAGAATCAGGTTGTTTTAGGTTCAATTTGTTTCAGATTTAGTTTGTTTCAATGGTTTCTTTTGAGCTTGTTACTGAGCATGTTTGTTTCAGATTCAGTTTGTTTTCTATGATTTGCTTGTGAGCTTATTTCAGATTCAGTTTGTTTCAGATTCAGTTTATTTCAGATTCAAGTCTAAACTTTAGATTCAGTTTGTTTTCTAATGGTTGGTTGTGAGCTTGTTACTGAGCATGTTTTTGATGGTGGCTATGATGATTTGTCACATATGGATTTGCGGCTATGACGATATCGTTAATAATTTTTGCATATGTCCAGCTTGCTTGTTTGCGGATGCTTGCTTGCAGACTTGGTTATATAAGCTGCTATTACGCTGCAGGAAGGTTTTGTTTCAACTTTTGCAGCTGGCCTGAGTTTACATGAGGGTGTTGTTGCTTGTGTTCTTGGGTCAATCTTTCTTGTTTGCAGTTGATTGCTTGCAACCTTGGTTATATGAGTTGCTTGCTTTGATAGCAGGAGGGTTTTGTTTTATTTTTTGCAGCTGGTCTGAGCTTACTTGTGGCTGCTTACTTGCTGGTTATAGGAGCTTGTTTGTAGACTGGTTACTTGCTAGTAATCTTACTTGTGGCTGCTTACTTGCTGGTTATAGGAGCTTGTTTGTAGACTGGTTACTTGCTAGTAATATGGCTTGCTGGAAGCCTTGGTTTGTTGTGGGTTTTAAGTCCAATCTGAGCTGCTCTTGGGTCCAACTTACTTGTGTGTGGACAGGTTTTGTTTAATTTTTTGCAACGGGTCTAAAACAAACTAAATCTGAAGCAACCTAAAACAAGCTCACAAGCAACCATTAGAAAATGATACTTGATGGTCATATTTTGTATAAACAGAATATGAGCTTGGATTCTTTTGTAGGTTTATATAAATATGGATGGATATGATACTTGATAGCAACCTACATTGCACGATATGTATTGGTATGGCTATTTTGTATTGTTCAATTTGGGCAATGATGATGGTCATATTATGAGAATGCAATCTACATTGTTTTGCTTTGTTTAGATAGGGCAATCTAGGATAAGAATGCAACCTACATTGTATTTACAATGTTAGGTGAGGCAATCCATTCATGTGATTGCAACCTACATTATAACATCATTGTTAGATGAGGCAATCTATGTATTCAATTTTAATATCTATATCTGAGCCCTACCTTGGTCCTATTATGAGTTTGGCTAATGGTTGCTTGTCTGAGCCTTGGTTATTTGAGTTGTAGCTTGTTACTGAGCATGTTTTTGAAGGCTTGTAAGTTTGGTTGTTTCAGATTCAGTTTGTTTCAATGGTTGATTGTGAGCTTGTTACTGAGCATGTTTGTTTCAGATTTAGTTTATTTTCTAATGGTTGCTTGTGAGCTTGTTTCAAATTGTTTCAGCACTCAGTTTATTTCAGATTCAATTTGTTTCAGATTCAGGTTGTTTCAAAATCAGTTTGTTTTCTAATAGTTGCTTGTGAGTTTGTTACTGAGCATGTTTCATTTTTTGCTGGTTATATGAGCCTGAAAGTATGGTTGCTTGTTTGGTTTGTTTCATTTTTTTCTTTCAGGTGTGATCATTCTTTGATGGCTTGTTGTAGCCTTGGTTTGTTGTGGGTTTTAATTCCACTCTGAGCTTGTGAGCTTGCTTGCTTGTTGTGGGTTTGAATGGGTATGCTTACCCCAATTAAATACAATTGTGTTTGTTTTTTGTAGGAGGTAAGCTCACCAAAGGTTCTTATATTCACCAATTATTGTTTCGGTAATCCTAAAACTTGTTTGTTACAACTATGGATTTCAAATTCTAAAATTTGTAATGCTAAAATTTGAGTTTGAAACAAACAAGAACTTACAAATTATAGCATTCCAAATCCCAAAATATTGATGAAACAAACAAAGTTTTAGAAATCCTAACCCTGGTTAAAAAACCTATGGATTTCAAATCCCATGATGAAATCCATATCTTAAAATTATAGGATTTGAAACAAACACCCCCTAAGTAAAGCGCTATGTACGTGATTTTTTTGATAGAAGCTATTCGTTTATCCTTTTGATATGCCAGTACCAAGCTTGGTAATCATAGGTGATGAACAAGTTTCAAGTAATATTTGGATTTTTTTCTCTCTTAGTCATAATCGTATACATTGGGCTTAAATCTTGACGGCTAACACCTGCCTCGTGGATGAATTATATAATTTTCTTGTTCAAGTTTGCAGAAAAAAGTGTGTTAGTAGCTGTATCGTTACCTCCAGGTTAATACGAAGAGGCGCACCGTACTCGTGAGTGGAGTCCAGTTAGGCTTCCTTGGCTGTATGAGCACAGTTTCTGCCTTTGTGGCCGAAGTATATGCCATGATGGAGAGTGGCCACAGCAGGCGAGCACTAGCTTATATGTTACTGCCATCATCTGCTACCGGAACTCTTATTTACTCTGTTCCAGTCTGGACGAAGCACTACGAGTAGCTTGTCCATCTCTCTGCAGGAAAAAACAGTGAAGAGAATGGCCAAGGATTCTATTAGTTTTCGTTCTGCTAGATCGAGGGAAAATGTCAGTGATCGTTGTTGACGTTCCTCCCGGTCGAAATGCAGATTGAACAGATGGATTAAAATGATTGTGAATATTGTGAAGCTGATGGATGAAAGGCTGCATTCTTCAAGAAAATTGTATCTCGTTATTTATGTTCGACAGATCATGGAGGAGGAGAGAGTCATTTTAGGTGAACTTTTCTTTTGAGGAAAGGCATGAGCGTGAAATTTGTTGATAGGTGAAATATCTGAGGTTCAAAAAGAAAATAAAGTATGAAATGTGTACAGCCCGATTAGTTTGTTGGTACATTACATGCTTGTGAATTGAACCAGGGGTGACACTACATACCCATGAACATTTATACATATATCACTAGTATCTTCAATGCAGTAGCTGCTATTTATTAGTGCAGTTATGATTGTACTACAAAATACATTCATATACCGTCTATCGCCCTCTCATTCCTCAACAAACAATATTCCATGTAGGGCCCTGCATAAGATTTTCTTCAACTATCATGTTCTCTTATGCTTATAAAGGGTTATCTAACAATAACTCAAGGTTCTGAATAACTGCTCCCGCAGTTCAAAATAAAACTTGATACGCACTGTGGCTGCCAAGTTCAGGCCGCAAACTTTTTCATGACAGTTACAAAGTTACTGTGACGGGCAACATAACTCATACTCTCCACTTCGCTCCTCTTTTCTTTTGATACAAATTATCATATATGTGACAATACCAACAATTATAACCACGATAACCTTGTCCCCTTTATCACATACATCTGACAATTTTCAGGTGAAATCCACTGGGAACACCCAATTGTAGATGTTGGAATCAAACTCTGGATCCTCTATTTAGAAGAATAATAACTCAATTACCTTATCGCCGACCGTGAACAACATACAATATTTTTCTGTATATCTGAGTTCCAAAAGGTGCACATAACAAAATAGCAAATGAAGGCACATCACAAGCAGATCAAATTGGTGCGCTGCTCCATCTGAATAATACAGTATGCCCCTTTTGCCCGTTAAGATAAAATAAATAAAGCCTAAATATAACTTCTTAAAATAAACTTCTCATTCTGTGCTCATAGTTCTAATTTATAGCTTATAGCTGCTGGTAATGCATCGGCTTGTTCTTCCCCAAAGCAAGGCTCGTTAAAAAGAAATTAATCACCTTCATTTGCTGCATCCTTTGCCTCAGCAGCTTCCTTTCCTACAAAAAAGAGGGCAGATGAGAAAGACAGAAGAAGGAAGAAGATGACCGAGGAAGAAAAATCAGCACTAATTACAACTTACAAAACATAAAATATGGATCAAGTGATCATATGGATATTTATTACGTTATTTCAGAATGTCATAGTGGAGGCGAAACAAAATAAAGGTGATAATGCAACAGCCTTAATAGAATGTCATAGTGGAGGCGAAACAAAATAAAGGTATAATGCAACAGCCTTAATAACACTTGTTGGCCCATTTGACAAAAGTTTAAGAGGATTGATGTGTTTAGACTATTTGAGCAAAGAAGGGTTAAATTGATTAGTCCATTAGGTAAGATTATTTTAATCCTTGTGCTCTTCTTTAGCCTTTGGTAATAAAGATTATACTGCTTTCTTTATAAATAAAGGTGTTATTTCTTAGCTTGTCTAAAGAGGTAGATTAGTAAACCCCTCACTTTGAGGGGCTAACACTTTTTAACCTGCCTAGTAGGGTCCTTTTGTCATTTTTGTCTGGCAAAATAAAATAGGTTTCAGTCCATGTGTTATTTTTTTATGGTTAGTAGGTTAGAAAGGGATTGACTTTCTTCAACCCTCACTCGACCAGTTGCCAAATAACACTGTCCATTCACTTGGTAGCGTGATGATGTATCAAACAACTTGGAGCCTTCAACATGTTATCTTTTGAATTGAATTAGGTCATAACCCTCGTCCTGAACCAGGATAATCCGGGACAACTTGGAGCGTTCAAGATTATTTAGTGCTACAAAAAACAGCTGATAAGTTGCATCTATGTTCTTTAAAAATCTAAAGTTACCTATTTGAAACCCAATAATGGGTGATGTAACATGTTCACGAAAACAAAGTTTGAACCTCAATGTAACAATTACTGGTTCTAAGCTGGTGATATGTACAAAAGATGGGACTAGCTGAATGCACATCACAAAGTATTTCGAAGACCTCATCATTTTCGTTGTACTGATGATTCTCTTGGATTTGGGGATAGAAGGAAATCATGTCCTCTCCATTTCTTTCCACTTGTTAGAATATAAAACTATAATCATCGATCCTCACCATAACTTCGCAATTTTGATATAATGGTTAGAGGAACTTTCACATGGTATCTGAGCCAACTCCGATTTGAATCTTGTTGGTTATGAATTTAATGCAGATTTTTTTTAAAAAAAATTGTTACCACTATGTGAGTCCAAATTTCAGCACATAAAAAAAAGGGTGTCTATAGGGGCATTATATTAAAATATAAAACTATAATCCGCAAGCCTTATCATAACTTTGAAGTTCTGATATACTGGTTATAGGGACTTTCACACAATGCTCATTCATTCTCCGTTAAACTAGATTTCTTGACTTAAAATCCAGACTAATCCGAATTGTCAACTTTTGATGTGGGGAAAAAGAATCTAGTGCACATCAAAGATTGTGGGTTTAAGAGCAGTCTAGGACATAAAGTTATTCGCATGAAAATGCAAGAGACATGAATCTAATACTAGAATCTGATTTCTGGGGATAAATTCAAAATTTTATCTGATTCCATTTTTTGTTGAGGGGTTTTTACCAAGGTTATTGATAGCTAATAGCGCCCTGTAGCCATGAGGCACTGTTAAGGCTATTTGGCGCTATAGTGGCAAAACAGAGGAAAAAATCGCAAAGTCAAATAGTGGTCCTATTTAAATATGAATAAATATTCAAAAAAAGAAATATTAAAGAAAAATCTAAAAATTTTATAAATACATATTTGATGATTTATAGAGATCCTAAAGAGGAGAAAAAGGACTCGGTGAGCTTCGAGTTGACAGAGGCGGCGGAGAAGCAGAAGAAGCAGTAAGAGAGGGGAGTTTTGGGGTTGAGGTGGAGTAGTCGGAAAGGAAAAGGTTGAGGTTGGGGTTGGGGTTGAGGGCAGTCGGATAGGAATTTTGAGGTTTAAGGTGTTGTAGTCGGAGAGGGAGAGAAGGAGGGTCACCAGTGAAGTTAGCTTAGGGAGAGAGGAGGCGGTGGAGTTGGTGGGAATCAGGAGATTAGGGTTTTTCCCCTTCGTCTGTTGAGATCGAATCAGAGAAGGGAGGGGAACAAAGATGAGGGGGTTTTAGTTAATTACAAGTCGGGTATGGGTACGGTACAGGTTTGAGTCGGATATTAAACTGAGAATTCACAATGAAAAACACTATCACGCGCTAAACGCCACTATTGCTAGCGAATAGCGTACGAAGCGCTATTTTCCACTGCTTTCATCGATATCGTGCCACTAGTGGGCGCAAACGCAATTTGCGGCGCAATAGTGGCGTTATTGGGCATTATTTTCAACAGCGGTTCTTATCTATACCCCTTCAAATCTCCTATACTTTGATACCACATCAATGATTAATATTTTATGTAAAACCTTGAATTCTTTCTTTACCTCAAACCCCTAAATGACTTAATACCCTGAACCTTATGCAAAACACAATCAACGGAAAATACAGTAGAAGGAAGAGTAGTTTAGTCATCTTCTAGCATGCCATTGTTCTTCCATCCATGAAACTATTAGACCTGCCAAAACTTGATAAATGAAATGATAGAAACCAGATGCTACCTAAGATTTTGTGATTCCTTTCAATAATTATATCTAGTAAAGTTAAGTAGTAACTATACACAAACTTCTGTAGTTGCAACTATCTGGATAAACTGGCTAAGCCAGTGGCAAAACCAAACTGCTTAGTGCATCTGTAGAAATTGTCACCTATATCAAGAGAAAATAAAGAGAAAAAGAAATGAACAATGCAATGAGTGGTACATTTGGTTCATATATCCAATATGTTGCAGTAAATCAATGATCCCCAACACAAAGAGGGGAGTATTTTGCAAGCTTACCATATTCACTGAATATGACACCACCTGAGCATAACCCCTCCTCAATTTTAACTAACTGGAGCGTCATCCTAGGTCCAATCTCTTGAAGTTTGACAGCACTTTTGCTAGAAGCACGGTTTACCCTACCAACATCACTGGTCAGGCTTACTGTTGCAGCTTCTTCATCTGCTTCACTTTCTGATCCATAACCAGCCCTACATACAGTAAAAAGATATTTATATTTGACCAATCATGCAGAATTAAAGTAAAAGGTCATACAACAAATTTCCCATCATCTGGAGAAAAAAAATGTGACTTTCAATATGGTTAGAATTTTTGTATACTTCTTTAGGTGGAGATAGTAGTAAAGGCCTTACAGGATGTTCATAAAATATGCTTCTGCACTTTCTATTTATCAGTCACTAACATCCTCGTGCATATAATGAGCTATAAACATAGCAAGTTATGTACAGGTCCAACTCTTGTTTGTTTCCCCCTTCTCTTAAGCATGATAGAAACATCTTTCACAATCATATTGCACATCTTTGTGGATGATCTGCTCTTCTTATTTCTTTTTTTTAAATATTCACCCCTGTTGAATTTAAGAATCAAGGACCACTGTAGGGCCAAAAGCTGGTCCAAGATCATATTCTGGCAGAAAATTTTGAACTGAACTTTACAAACTATATTCATATAAATTAGTTAGTACCATAGTTGTGTGATCATATTTTTTTTATTAAACTTACTTTCAGCCATCTAGGCACGAGAATGTAACATCATCGCTAGGATGAAAGCAAGAAGCGGAACGAAGAGAACACTAAACCATGCCTTTATATGATCCTTTAATAACTTAATGTTTCGAAGATCATACCAAACCAGATTTATAAAATTGCGAAAGCCAAAACTCTAATGGGACTGGTACTGAGTTCATAAATTTCTTACTCAAACTAAGATAATCTATCAAGACATATCCATCTTGCCAATGCAATCATAAATTAAAAGTGCCTGCCCTCCTGGAAAACTTCAATCTTTGCATTGCAATAGTACTCATCTTGCATATCTCCTATTAATAGGATAGACTGAAAAAGTAAATAACCAAATAAAACTAACCTAGAATTCCATGCATCATGAAGAGTTAATGTTAACTTAAAAGAAATTGTCCTACAAGTAGCGCCAATATAAGGGAACAAAGTGAATTTTAGTAAGTATGTTCTTCTACAACTAATTTAAGGCATTCCAATGCAAGATTTTGATGGGTTTGGTACATCTATGCAGAAATATTATAGCAGTCCATTCAAATCTTCTCTTACTTGGTAACAAAGTCGCTCACATCTTGAAGATTCCTAAGATCAGGCACTTGATGGTTCTGAACAAACTTTCTAATCCTACGAGAAACACCAACAGGCTGCAACCTGATAGAATAATGCCTAAAATCAATTAGCTTTGTGTCACTGTTGTAGTTCAATAATACAATCCTCTGACATGATGAGAGCTTAACCTGCAGTTTCCAATGAATTCATTGGTTAGCAAATGTAATTAAACTCGAGGAAAAGTTCAATTGCATCATGACATTGTTCTAGAACTAACAGTATTAATGTCTATAGCAGGAAACATATTCTGAAACATGATTGTTGTAAGCTTCAAATGTTGTTGATCCCCACCACCAAACCCAGAAAGAACAACCTGCAAAAGAAAAAACGCCTAAATTTACCAGTAAAGTGTACATAACATGTAACATAGTTGACATTTGATGAACATGCTCACCAAAGGGGGGTTATTAAATAGGTCTTTTGGGCATCTCGGGCGAGTCTGAGCCCGAGCAATATCAGCAGCCAACGCATATTCCCGTATTTCAAAGGTCAGCGTCGGGCCTTGAGGTGTTCTTGCGACCCTCAAATGAGGAATGCTCTTTGGATTCGATAAGATTAAGAAGTGTGTTACGCCCATTGGCCCTGCAACATTCAAGAAGTCCTTAAGATTGTTCCGTTTCTTCTCCTGCCAATTTAAACACAAACAAACTCATCAAAAGTTACCCAAAAAAGTACTCTCAACTGATTTCCATCGAAGAAAATGAGTTCTCCTGACATTAGTATAAGTCCCAAAAACTCAATAAGTGCCTTCAAATCAGTCTCTCAAGTTATAATCTGTTACTTTAACCCACCCAGGTTGACTAATATAGTTTATTTTGCCCGTTATGTGCTCATCTCTATTAGCATTCTCTCCTAACCAATTCAACCCATCAAAATCCCTCATTTTTCTCACCTTTTCCACTGCCCTCTTATTATAATGCTAAGATAATCGGCATTAAGTTAAATTTTAGCGATCAATATCAGAAAAACCCAATTAAAAAAAGGAGGTACCTTTAATTTAATGGCGGTATAAGGAAGCATAATCTTTCGAATATCCAATTCGAGCTGCTTGATTGGGCCAGGGATCTTCCCCCTCGAGAAGACGAAGCTCTTCGGAATCTTGTCGCCAGTAACCTGATTCACGTTCGGCTGCTTCTTCACAATTGGGGGTTTCACAAAGTTCTTCTTCTTTCTCTGCAGTTCGATCGAGGGAGAAACCATGAGAAATTGGTTTTCGAAGGAGAGGAAAAGGTTTGAGAGACTTACGTTCTTGAATCGAGCCATGGAGATTGGAGATACGAGCAACGGAGGAGGCTGGGGATGGAGACGCTAGGGTTTTGCTAGGGTTTCCCTGATAAATAACGGAGGACAAATTTTTAAAAGAGACCCATTTGTGAACTTAATCCCAAAAAACGACCTCATTCAAACAAAATTACAAAAACCAACTTGGTTCAGCCTCAGCGCTGAAACCAGATCGGTTTTTGAAAAAAAAATCCAAAACTTCATGGGAGTTAAACACCCGTGAAGTTTAGTAGATCTGTTAAACTTCACGGAAGTTCAACTCCCGTAAAGTTTCATAGTTAAAAAAAAAATTTGAACTATGAAACTTCACCAGAGTTGAACTCCCGTGAAGTTTCATAGTTCAAATTTTTTTTTTAACTATGAAACTTCACGGGAGTTCAACTCCCGTGAAGTTTCGGAAAAAAAATTTCAAAAGCCGATCTGGTTTCAGCGCTGAGGCTGACACCATGTTGGTTTTGTAATTTTGTTTGAATGAGGTTGTTTTTTGGGAATAAAAGTCTAAATGGGTCTCTTTTGAAAATTTGTAAAGATTATTTAGGCTTTTTTTAATATTAGTCCTCATATCTTTCCTAGTTTGAGATTGGTACCCCAAATCTTCATAATTTTAGATTAAGGAGATTTTTTTTATTTTTGACATAGATCTTTTTCAAAAAGTAACTAGCAAAATCTACCCTTATGCTAAATAATAAACAAAATTAATCTCTTTTTAGCCACATCATCAAGGCTAGTCAAAAAAAGAGATTAATTTGGCAAAAGAAAAACACATTTGAAATACTAGTCTCGTGTAATTAGTAAACGCTAATTAAAGAACTAGTTTAAGCCACAATATATATGGGACTACTACTCTCGTGTATTTTGCAGACACCTTCATCAAAATACACAGGACTAGTAACTACACGTATATTGTAGACATACACAAAACATGCACACATGTTCACAGCTTGTCTCATGTGCGTATAAATTATCCCCTGTGTATATAAAATATTCAATTCAACTCATGTACATATCCGAACATATAAATTCCATAAATTCCTATACATAACTTCATACAAAGCTAAACATATAAATACATATTCTCTCTCACGCCCAAGAAAATCAAAACATTGCGGTAAAACACGATTGATAAACACATGGAGACAACTAGGAGGGGGGAGAGAAAACTAAATGAGAAGCGGGAATCAGTGTTGGAAAGAACCATGGGTGAGATTGGGGGAGGAGGCGCGGTTTGAGGGACGACGAGAGAGAGATTTGGGGAGGATGGTGTTAAAGAGGTAAAGAGAGCAAGACTTGAGGGACGAATAGAGAGAGATTCGAGGGATGACGGGTGAGAAATTTGAGGGATGACAGGTCGGAGAGAGCGGTTGTGCCAAAAATTAGGACATTATTAGAGGTTTATTTAACATTGACAAAAAGATAAGACTAATAGTCCAATGTATTTGGTCAGGAACGGGTTTCTCTCTGTTTATACACGGACTGATAGTCTCGTGTATTTCATTGGGTAATTTTAATCACTCTGCTCTTTGTATGGGACTATTAGCCCCTTCTATTAAACAGGATCAGTTTAATCTTAATTGGTGTTTGAAAATTACACGGTTCTACTAATCTCGTATGTTTCAAAGACAACTTTTTTACAAAATCAACATCTTCTTTGCAGTCTTGATGACGTGGCAAAAAAAGGTTGATTTTGTTTATTATTTAGCAAAAGGATCGATTTTGCTAATTACTTTTCATAAAATGTATTTTTTTTAAAAGTTCTCCTTGAAATTAATCCCCCAATCTTTAAGTATTTTGAAGGTAGTCAGCCCAAATCTATATTTTAAAATGAGTCCCCTAAATCTTTTAAGTATTGTGAAATTAGCCCCTCTAGTTAGCACCGATTTAAAAGGTTTAGGGCGACTAATTCAGGGCAAATAAACCCCTTCATGTATACCATGTTTATTTCTGGAATGCGGACACCTAAACTAATGCAAGGGTAAGTTACAAAAAACCCCAGTTATCTATACCATGTTTCTCATTAACTCCCTTGTTTAAAAAGTCCAGCAAAAGATTCCTTTCATCTATGACCATTAATAAAATCACTGGATTTGTATAGGATATCATATTTTATATGACTGGATAGGCATTTGCACCTCATTAAGCGTTGGAGAGATGTATGTGCTCCAAAATTCGTAGATTTGCAAGTTGAATGGAAAAAAAAAAAGATAAGAGAAAAGAATAGTTTCTGGAGGAGGAAATATTTTTTAGTACCAATCCAAATCACATATAAGTTAATATATATGATATCCGAAGAGCCAAACTCCGTCACGAAACTACTGCTTCATTAATGATTATAGACAGCAGTTGTGTTGAACATTTTAGACGAGGGGTTCTTTAACAAATAGGGTAAGATAGAGGGTATTTCTATATTTTACCCAAAGAAACATATTATTCTAAGAATCATATACATTACTGTAAAATAAATAAAAATATTAAAAAAAGGGAATTGGACACAAGATAAAATGGACAAATCTTCATGTTTTTTACTAATTACAATGAAGAACATCACTAAATCATTGGTTTCATTATTTACGCTTTTGATTTAAGCTAGGTAATGAAGAAAGTTATTCTCATTCAAAAATTTAACATCTCAAATTCTGAAAATTTTGAATTAGAATACTATATAGATCAAGAGTTCTCAAGCCGGATACAGGATTGCACGTAAGTTTTATACTGGTATGATAAAATATTTTCTTTAGCAAAACATGTGTGTATCTCTACAAAATTTAACTACTCCTTGTTTTTCTTTCAATTCTTTCTCACCTTACTTTTTTTTCATTACTATTACACTCTCCTAGCTCACAAAGACACGGATGGAAAGAACTTTTTTTTGTTAACTTATATCCTCGAGTTTCACTCATCTGTAACTTCTTTTTTAATGTTGATGCATAATGGTGAAGATTAAATCTGGTCAAATAATCCCAATAGTTTTAAGTTGTTCAAAAGGGTAAAACTACACAATACCCATTTTCTTTGCAATTTACGATTTTCTTTCCAAGTTACCTCAGATACCCAGGGTCTAATTCTGAAATTAGGTTATAAGCTTGTAATGAACATTTTAGAATCTTTGTTTAAATATTGATAAACTTGTTCATCTCTTTCTTTTTTTTTAAATTATTGTTTTAAATTTGTGATGATGTGAGTATGTGTTTGAAAAGAATCTTTACAACAAAATTGAGAAAACAATGTTGGTTTTAGGTGTGTAGACCGAAACCTGGGAACAAAAATCAGCAAGCAACGATAACCCCCTGGTCGGTTGACCGAAGGAAGCTAATCGGTTGACCGATTGACAGAAATGAGCTTAGAAAATCGCCCTGGTCGGTCGACTGATGGGGTGCCATCAGTCGACCAATAACGTACACATTGCAATCCTGGGAAAAAAAATTGTGCTGGTCAGTTGACCGATGCAAGTGCATCAGTCGACCGATGACGGGTTTTACCCGTTTCCTGGTTTGTTTGGAAATTTGTTTGAGCTAGGGTTTATATATATATCTGAACGTCTTTGTGAGGGTTTTGTACATGAAAAAGAGAGAGTCTTTTGAACATTTTGAGAGAGAGATCTCAGAGAGAGAGAGAGAGAGAGAGATAGTCGTTTGAAAGCATTATAATTTTCAGGATATTCCTCAGTTACCTCTAGTTAGAGAGGTTGAGTTCTGCATTGAGTTGTAGCTAGGTACAACACCAATTTCACATGCATCCTATCGTATGACACCCGTTGAGTTGAGGGAGCTACATGCTCAGTTAGAAGAACTTTCTTCTTTAGGCTTGCTTTGTCAGAGCCATTCTCCTTGGGGAGCGTCGGTGCTCTTCGTGAAGAAGAATGATGGTAGCATATCATTATGTATAGATTATCATGAGTTGAACAAAGTCACTATTCGGATTAGATATCCACTACCAGAGATATATGACTTGTTTGACAAGCTGCGGGGAGTACAACATTATTTTTTTCGAAGATTGATCTTCATTCTGGTTATTTTCAGTTGCGAGTGCAGGAGACGAATATTCCCAAAACTGCCTTTCTGACTTGATCTGAGTCTTTCGAGTGTCTTATCATGCCATTTGGGCTGACCGATGCACCCGTGATATTCATAAATTTGATGAACCTGTTTTTTGGTCCGTATTTAGACTGCTTCGCGATCGTTTTTATCGATGATATCCTTAATTATAAGATATCGTAGGCAGAGCACGAGCATCATAATCGATTGGTATTGTGGAGTTTGTGGGAGCATATGTTGTATGCCAAGTTCAGCAAATACGAGTTTTGGCTATCAGAGATTAGATTTTTTTAGGTCACGTCATCAGCATAGAGGACATAATAGTGTATCCAGCCAACATTGAGGTTGTACTTGATTGGGAGCCACCAAGAACAGTTACGGAGAGTCGTAGTTTTGGCAGGCTATGATAGAAAGTTCATTTAGGACTTTTCAAAGATTGTAATACCACTTACATAGCTTACGAGGGGTGTACAATTTGTTTGAGGTACAAAGTGTTAGAAAGCCATTGAGACTTTAAAGGCTAAATTGACTATAGCAATAGTATTGATTTTTCTGCGCAATGATAAGATTTGTGTTGTCTACACGGACACGTTATTAGCGGGTCTAAGAAGTGTTTTGATACAGACCCAGAGAACTTGTATTTCGCAAAAATCAAGGCTTATCGTACCAGATACTCCATACATCCAGGCACAATGAAAATGTACAAGCTGTGAAGAGACATTTCTAGAGCTTCTAGGATTAGTTCGGTAGCCAGTTGTGCTATTCTAGTGTTTTCCACCCACAATTAGATGAGCAAATGGAGAGTGTGAACTAAGTATTGAAGAAAAATGTTGCGGTCATGTGATAGTGATTTTTCAAGGTAATTGGGAGGAACATATCCCAATGATTGAACTACAAATAACAAAAACCAACTTTGGCATGACACCGTACAGGGCATTGTGCGGGAACCTTGTAAACTACCTATTTATTGGGAAGAATCGGAGGATAATTTGTTGCTTGGACCGAAGCTTGTGAGACAGACTACAGAGAAGGTAGCAGAGATT